TCTTATTAAAACTTTATCCCAATAGAAACATGATAAGCATGTAATCAAATATGGTATTAGATACATGGATAACTGGTTTTAGCACAAGTGGGAGATTGTTGGTATTTGGCCTTCAAGTCAAATCATTTTTGGCTAAGACATTGTTATATTTATGATACTTTGATATTTGATATGTTATCAAGGTCTTGTTTATTTATCATTGAGCTTATTTACATGTATTTCATTGTTGATGCTTATATGATAAGTCTTTGGAATATAAATAAAGCTTTGTAAGGGAATTACAATAAGATTATAATTATGAGATCATCATTGCATAAAAGCTATATGTTCCAAAATTATTCCTAGTTGATGCTTTATCAATAAGAGCACATTAACAAAAGCTATTGACATTAGCATATGGTTATGCTCTTGTTTATGAAGTAAGTAATCGATCTCATTGGTTGAAGTTTAGTTAAACTTGAGCTAACATTAGGATGCTTGTTACAAAAATAAGTTCACTAAACATTACCCGATATGAGAATGTATATGGTAGTTCACATATTCTCTATAATTGCATTCTCATGTGATGGTTGTATAAGTGATCTTTTGACTTGAAATTACTTATGACCGTATATTATGAATGCTATACTTTGACTTTACTAATGGTTCTAACCAAGAATGCTCCAATCGAGTATTTTTGGGTATAACATAAGACATATGAAGATGCATAAAGTAATCAAAATGGGATTCATCACTTTGTGTGATTAATAGAGTATCTCAACTAGTCTTTGATTGAATTGACTTGAAAAATCTTTGGCCAAGGTGAAATAAAAGTTTAGAATTGTTCTAAAGCTTATTTGTGACTTAATGTCAAGGACAAGACTTAACATGGTTGAACAAGATTGAGTAGACACTAAACTAGAATGTTCAAACCGAGATCTATGTGATGAAAGGATATTAATTATACATTAAGATCATTCACGGATAGGATGTCAAGCCATATTGACTTTTTTTTTTGCAATTGGGAGTCATGACAATATAGCTAGCATTTATCATAATCTATAAACATAAGATTGGCTAATTGGAGAATTAGTGATGAAGTCAAAAGATTTGATTCATCCATAGCCGAATGTAAAAGGCTCACAATGCTTATATGTATTGCCAACATGCTAAAGAACCTAATGGTTCACAAACAATAGGACAATTGTGAAAGATTAAAATTGGGACTAATTAAGTTGTACTTAATTTGGTTTTGGTATAACCAAAAGATAGAGGAAATAAAACAAGAGGGAAAGACTTTCCTTGTTTAGTGCATTCAGCCAAGCATGGGATATTTATGAAAATATACATGTCTTACATTAACCTAATGTGGCCAAATGTCCCTCTATAAAAAGAGCATTAAGCAACCACCCCCTCTTGCAACACAGAAGGTATATTTGATGTAAAATAAGCTAAGAGCAACTATAACCAAAATCTTGAAAGAAAAACAAGAGGCTTTGTAAACACTCACTAGCTAGAGTGTGGTTTGTGTTATATCCTACCTTAGAGAAGGTTCTTGCACAAGAGTTCATGTGGATTACCATTAGAGGTTGCACATTTGAGTAGCTTTGTGGCTTGGGAAACAACTTGGAAGATCACCAACATGAACCACAGCAATTTCAGCATACAATGTACATAACATAGCCGAAACTCATATAACTTATATGTGTTGTGTGTTTGTATAATCATATTGATTGATCTTAGATTTTGGGAATTAAAAATTTTAAATTTTCACTATTTTAACTCTATATATTAATACATAATTCCCTTTAATAGCATAGGCTAACATTGCTCGTGAAGCTTTAAAGGGTTAGTTACTGCAGGTTCAGTGAAAGGAGCTTTACAGGGTCATGAGTTAAGAGGAGGACTTGCTCTTCTCCTTGCAAATCCTGTAGAGTTGACACGATTGAGTGTAAGTTGCAGTGTTCATATCTTCTCTTCTTAATTGGTTATTTAAGCTGTTTGATGTTGCTAAATGGTTTTAAAAATTCTATGTTACATAAGCACTTGATTCCAATAGACGTTTTTTTATTATTTAAAACTTTCTATTGCGCTACTTCATCTCAAATGTCCAGACCACCTTAATTATGCCTCCCTTATTTTTGTACCTATATCTATTTTTGGCGAACCACTATTTTTGTATTTAGTTGGTGCTATTTCTAATATTTTCTTGTTTATCCAAATATTTATCTCAGTATCTTCACTATAAGGCAATTATCTAGTTGAAATATATTAAAAGGTATCATCTAAAATTAAACAAGTCGTATTAGATTTATCATAGGCTTTGTTATGTAACTGTTTTAAGTATTAAAATTAATATCTTCGTCCAACTTTCTTTTTTTTTTTTTTCTGTAATTTGTATCTAATGCTACCGAAAAATAATGGAACCATCAACTGCCATTAGCAAGTGTTCTCTAATGGGAAGGTCTTTGGCAGTTCGTTGACATTTTGTTATTTAATGAATGAGAATTTGGTAATGTTCGAAGGTCATGAGTTTACTAATTTTTCTGTTTGATTTTGAATTATTTATTACCGAAAGGGACATTATTGCCTTAATAGAGTCGTTGTCATTGTGGATATTTAGTTTACTATATTATTATGGTTACTTGATATGCTTTGTTTAATTATTGTTTGATGCAGTAAATTCTGTGATTACTGGGTTTAGTAAACAACTTGATCTCCCTTGGATTGGGACGTGAAGCAGCATTTTCAGCTGCGGTTTTAGGAGACAATGCCCTTATGGAGAAGGCGTGGCAGGATACTGGGATGCTTGCTGAGGCTGTGTTACACGCACATGTATGACTTGATTCATGTGGACAATTAGTTGTCGATCCAAATCATATTTCTTGCATTCTGACCAGTCTAAAAATTGTTTCAGGCTCACGGGCGACCGACATTGAAGAACTTGGTTGAGGCTTGGAACAGTGTTACGGAAGGAGGTGGAGCACACTCCATCAGCAAAGACGGATGCTACAGCTGCATTTTTGGCTTCCCTTTAGGAGGCAGGCAAGAAACCGCCTATTTAAATCCTTCCTCCTGGGATGTCGGCACTCTTGGCTTCGATTGCCATTAAGATAAAACCTGCGCCAGCGACACAGACTTCACAGCAACCAAGCAATCCATTGGCATTAGAAGTACCCCCTCCTAGTGGACCAGCTGAAGCACCAATTGGTGCACCATCTCTATGTGCATCAGCTGCAATACCAGAGACACCAATAGGAGCACCAACTCCTGCTGCACCAGCTGCAGCAGCAATAGATGCAGACACCATCCACATCAGAAACAAGTGAACCTTCTTTACATGGTAAAGCACCTAATTTATCATCAGGTAGTAATCCAGATGTGATTGCTTCAGCAGAAAGTAACCCAGCAACATCTGCAAGTGACACACCAGCATCGGATGCAAGCAGATAAATTATTGGCAGAGGTACCATCTGCGACACCTGATAAACAGGAAACAAGTGTTCTAACTACACTGCCAACAAGAGAATCACTTGCTTGCATAATGAGTTATAGTGGTCCTTTTTAGTCCAGGGAATTGTAATTCAATTTGAATAGTTATATGAACTGTTGTGATCTTGAATTTGATTGGGAAAAAAAGCAGGATTCATTTTGCGAAAGGCATGGTGTGAATATATTTGATTTATCTGGACTTTAGAGCAAGGGGGGGAAGTAATACCTTTTAGTTGATTTGGCTTGCTCAAAAGCAGTAACTAGAGATTATTTTTGTTCGTGGTTGGATTTGATCGAATATAACCATGACTCACTCATGCGCAGCTCAAGTGGCGCAGGTGCTGCATGTGATGCTACAGGAAATGCTCAGGAGCTTACCATATGAGTGGTTTACGTTATAGGATAGATTGGAATTATGTCGTAGAATATACTGGAAAATTTTGTTGTATGTGCGGCTGAGCATTGATTGAACTTTATATGCATTTTTTTTCTTTTGAATTTTTGTTCGAATGTATATGAAGTGTAGAGCATGTAAAATGATAATGTTATTTCATAGGAATTACAAAAGAGCCACTTGTGTCTTATTAAACTCTTCGGGGAACATCCGTGGTAGTTGTGTTGCTTTCCAAGCTTGTCTTCTATTCTAAAATTTACACTTTGCATTCACTTGGTACGGATCCTGTAAAGGTGATAGATTTAAGCTTGGTGGTCAAGTTTCATAACAAACTTCTTATCTTTAAGCTTCACAATTCGATTAAAATTTTTCATCGTTCTCACCAATAGCTAATAAACTAGACAGCGAGAAATATGCTGAGTAGTAGGAAAACACCAAAACTGCTTTGTTGCTGCACGAAATGCTAAGGAACTGACCATATGAGTGGTTTATGTTGTAGGATAGATTGGAATTATGTCGTAGAATGTACTGAAAAATCGCACTGTATGTGCGGCTGAGCATTGATTAAACTTTATATGGTTTTTTTTTTTTTGAATTTTTGTTCGAATGTATATGAAGTGTCGAGCATGCATAATGATAATGTTATTTCATAGGAATTACAAAAGAGCCACTTGTGTCTTATTAAACTCATCGGGGAACATCCATGGTAGTTGTGTTGCTTTCCAAGGTAGTCTTCTATTTTAAAATTTACACTTTGCATTCACTTGGTACGGAGCCTGTAAAGGTGATAGATTTAAGCTTGGTGGTCAAGTTTCATAACAAACTTCTTATCTTTAAGCTTCACAATTGGATTAAAATTTTTTCATCGTTCTTACCAATAACTAATAAACTAGAAGGTAAGAAATACGCTGAGTAGTAGGAAAGACCAAAACTGCTTTGATGATGTTATTGGAGTGGGGCTTTAAAAAAAGAGAGATGTAACTGATTTCCCGCCTTCAACTGGGGGGACTTCTTCCTTCAAATTTACGTTTATGCTTTATTTATAAAAGAAAAAGAGAATAAGAAAAGCTGATGTAAATCAGCATGTCACATAAAAACAGACAAAAGCCATGGAATCCGACAACATGATGAAAACAAAAGCTTGTATGCTGCTGACCGCTGACCCACGAGTGTTGCTGAATTGAGGTTATCGATATCCATTACTACTTTACTCAATTATTCTCCTCCTCTTTTCACACTTCTTGCTCAACACTCATCGTTCATCTCTCTGCTGTCGTCCTTTCCTTCTCTCTCAGTATCCCAGACGAACATATCACTAGCGTCGTTCAACGAGCCAGTCTGCCTGCCTGCTTAGTACTCTTCTAGCTGTTTTTTGCATCTTAATGAGCCGACTAAATCTACTTCTCCCTCCCTAAATGCTTTTCCATGGTTAATTTCCAGCTAAAACTACTACTAAAGAATAGACTCGAACAAACGCGTGTTAATGGGTCAAGTCTCTTCTTCCTCCTCCTCTTGGCCTGGGTTGGGTATTGGCATTGGTGGTAAAAATCACTTTTATCATAGTGAAGACTTCACGCTGACATTACCAGACGAATGCCTGCCATGGATTTTTGGCAAGCTTGGCTGTCATGACAGGAACAACTGCTCCCAGGTATGCAAGCGTTGGAGGCATGTGGATTCCAAGTCAAGGAAAAGTCCCGTCTTAGTTGCTCGCTCTGAGATTTCTCCTTGGCTCCCTTCACTTCTCTCTCGCTTCAACTCCATCTCAGTCCTCTCCCTCAAATGCTCCCGCAAGCTTGTTAGCGTCGACGATGATAATCTGGCTCGCATTCCCACCTTGCTGCCTTCCCTCAAGAAGCTCAAGCTCAAGGGCTGCGTCGACATTACTGACAACGGTCTCCAAGCATTCTCCGTGCACCGCCCTCCTCTTCTCACTAATCTCTCCTTTGCTTCATGTGGGGACGGTAGCAGAGGCATCGTTTCTCTTCTCGTAAACTGCCCTTCTCTTAAAGATCTCACACTAAAGCGCCTCTGCAAGCTTGACGCCCAAAGCATTTCTTTGTCACTCCAAGACCATGAAGAAGAGAACCAATCCTACTTCAACGAAATATTAAACACCAGCATTTGCTATAATCGTAATAAGCTTGAGAGGTTGAGCCTCAAGGATCTTCACAATGCTGCCCTTTTCATTCCACTTCTCTGCTCCTCTGCTCAGACGCTTAAGACCTTGATTGTCTGTAGGAGTTCTGGAAACTGGGATGCAGTACTGCAGAGCCTTCAGACTACTACTACTACTACTAGCATTGTGGAGATACAAATGGAAAGCGTGCAAATCGGGGATCCAGGCCTCCTTGCTATCAGCAGCTTCTGTCCTCACCTTCAAGTGCTCTACCTCAGCAGGGCTACTGATTGTACAGATGATGGATTATCTGCCATCGGCAACTCCTGCAGGAACCTCCGGAAGCTGCACATTGATGCGTGGAGCAGGTTTGGCAGCCGGGCCATTGGCGAGGAGGGCTTCTTGTCAATTGTAACGAAATGCCCTGGCCTCCAAGAGGTAGTACTCATCGGAGTGCCCATAACTGGTATCTCTCTGAATGTCCTCGCTTCCAGCTGCCCTATTCTTGAAAGAATGGCACTTTGTAACACCGATTCTGTGGGGGACTCGGAGATGCAGTTAATTGGTGTTAAGTTCATTGCATTGAAGAAGCTCTGCATTAAGAACTGCCCTATCTCCGACTCCGGGATTAAAGCCGTGGGCGAAGGGTGCCCGAGTCTAGTGAAGTTGAAGTTGAAGAGATGTCGAGGGGTCACACAGGCAACTGTGTCAAAGCTAAGGATCTGGAGGAAATGTTTGATTGTTTCCATGGATTGCGGTTCCATTTTAGTAGATGAAGAAGGGTTGGCGGATGATGAATTACATTCAGAGGAGGGTGGAATTCACAGGAGAGGAATAGTGCCACCTGCATTGCCAAACACTAGGATCAGTACAAGGAGGACACATGTAATTTGCAGCGGCAGAGGTGCTCTCATGCTCGGGTCTAGGCTTGTGAATGCTTTACATCTTAATAATAATAGTGTAGATACCCCATTTTGTCCGGTGTTTTTTGTCAATTGAGACTAATTCAAGTTCGATTGTAGGGATTTTTATTCATTTATATTTCAGATTTTTATTTCGTATTTATCATTTTTTTATTTTTATTTTATGGTCTATCTATTTTTTTTCTTTTTTTTTCTTTTCTCCATTATCTGATTAATTAATTTAAAAAAAAAAAGTGAAAAAAAAAATTAAAAGATCGAGATTAGGCTTGGTGATTGTGATGATTGTTATCTAGATGCTAATATTTAGCTTTGGATGCTAATTAGAATTGACTGAAACTCTATTAACATGGTTTTATAAATTATTGTGATTCACAGCAAAAAACAACAACAAGGGTACAGTGATCAAGGAAAGATCACAGAGAGAAAAATAGAAACACACGGCACCACCAATTTCCACCAAGCCAATTTTGCCACCATCTTTCACACTGTTCATCCTTCCAACCATTGGTAATCCGCACCATCAACAGCCTAGCCTTGAAACTCAATTCTGTCTCCATTACCAGTGGAGGCCATACTCATCTCGAACCCAGCCTCAACGACTACTATTGTCAGTAGCATAAACACAAAGACAAAATCTTTCATCCAATTATGCTGCAACATTCAAACAGAAAGAAGCCATTCAGGAGAGTTGCAACATTCAAGTGACAGGAAACCAAAAAAGCCATAATTTCAGTTATATTCTAGCTACCAAAAATCACTCAATAAACAAAAACAATTCCATCAGCAAATAGAGAGAAATCTGAATCTGGCAGCATTAGTGCCAATTTATCAAACCAAGTGCTTGACCTCGCCTTCACCAAAATCATGGACTCCAAAGCCTTATGCCATTGCCAGCCAAAACTCAACACCCTATAAATTGATTCCCAGAATGTAATCACAAGTAGACCACACACGAAGCTCACCATCGACCAACTACTCACCACCATTGGGGTTTCGTTAGACCATTGCCCATCATTAGCCAGTCGTCCCAACATGAATTCAAAAAATGAACAAGGCTAAATCAGACACTATAGGAGATCAAAAATAGAAAAAAAAAAGTCGAATAAAAGAAGAGAAACCATAAAGCCCTTTGGTGGCGACGGTGACAAGCGACGATCATGTGACTTCTGAGAGATCTAAACGGTGAAGATGATGAGCTTGGTGAGGGAGATAACATACTAAAAGTTAGAAAAGATCCGACGGTGGGAGAAGCTGGAACGAAGAAAGGAAAACCCAAAGCTTGAATTTCAGATCTATGCCTTTAGGAAGTGATTTTCAAAAAAAAGGAGCCCATATTCTAAACGAGAAGAGTGAGAAGTAGCAGTGGGGAAAATTTTGGCTTGACCGATCGTCTGATAGTGGCGGAGTACGATGGTGCAGGTGATAGAGCACGGCTGCATCGATGTTGGGATTTGCAAAAATTTAAAGTTTTTGATCGGGTTTTCTATACTTAGAGAGAGAGAGAGAGAGAAAGCTGAGGGTAGAAAGAGAGTGTAAAAGTGAGAACTAAAGAATAAAGGGCTTACCTCTGGCTTATATAGCCACATAAAATGACATCGTTTTAGGTATTAGCTAAAAGCAAGATCCACGTATTTTTAAGTGGGTAACCAGACCCGTAACGTGACTCGCACCAACAACCCACTTCCCTACCCTTGGCTCCAACCAAGCCAAGCCACAAACCAAGCTGCTAAGCCGAGCTTCTGGAGCCACTTTCTGCCTTGAGCCACACCCTTGGCTCCACCAGAGCCGAACCACGTCAAGGGTTTTTTTTTTGTTATTATTATTATTATTATTATTTTGCTTATTTATTTATTGATTAAATTAGAATTTTTTATTTATTTAAGTAAGCATTCCTTAATTTTTTAATGATCTCTTTAAAATGAAAATTTGAGACAAATATTTTTGAAGGAAAGTGGAATGTATCAATTTCCTTTGAACATAAAAATTAAAAAAATATTTTTGACGAAAAGTTAGAAGTACCAATTTTTCTTAAAAATAAAAATTTTCAAAAAATATTTTTAAGGAAAAGTTGAAAGTATCAATTTTTCTTGAAAATAAATAAAAAAGATTTCAAGAAGAGATTTTTAAGGAAAGTTGAAAGCATCAATTTTTCTTAAAAATAAAAATTTCAAAAACAAAACATTTTTAAGGAAAAGTTGGAAGTACCAATTTTCCTTAAAAATAAAATTATCAAGAAAAACATTTTTAAGGAAAAGTTGAAAGAATCATTTTTTCGAAAATAAAAACCTCAAAATGCTTTAAGGAAAAGTTGAAAGTATTAATTTTCCTTATATAAAAGCATGAGTTTTTTTTCTTAAAAAATAAAAAAAGTTATTTATATCAACGGTTGAATCATCATTCCTTTTTCGTTTTGTCTTTTTTTTGTTAAATAATCCGATGATGAAGCCTCTACAAGAGAAACAATAATTTTCTTATATACTCTTGAGGTGAGGGAATTTTTCTTAATTTTTTGCCAAAAGTATTGGAGTTAATTAAAAATAATTTTCAATAATTAATTACTTGGTGATTTTTAAGGCTTACTAGATAACACAAAATTGAGCTGGTACCATTTTTTGATGGGCATTGTAAGGGTGCTATAACCTTTCTCACACGTAACTGTACTCTCGAACCTAGTTTTGATTTCATAGACATTGAATTTATCTTTTAGAGATACCTAAGTCAAAGTTAGGATTCCTCTTTTAAAAGGAATAGATTCAGTGAGGTGGCCAATCGCACCAAAGTAAAAAAAATATTGGTGGCAACTCCTCAAGTCAATGTCTAGCAATAGGTCCTCAAATCTTTAAGATGTTATGATAGTTTGGCAACTCCACTGGGGACATGTTGAGAGTCAAGCCAGCAAATAAATTTATGTTATCCAAAAAGCCTAATAAAATTGAATTCTTTGTAAGGATTTTTTTTTTATTTTATGTTGTTAATCATATCATTCATATGCATATGCATAATATGCGCTCTATGCCCAAGTTTCATCCCTCTAAGAGGGAGTAAAGTACCTATGCTTTCGTGAGGTTTTAATGCCTCCGCAATGGCTAGCGAAATACTCCCACTCAAATTGAACCTTTTTCCCACTTAAATTGAACCTTTTTCGTTTGTAGCCTATAATGGGTGAGGATGAGACTACTTTACTAGTTTGTGATGGACTATGATGAAAGGAACAATTTGGGAACCTTTAGTGATCAAAATCTCCTAACCATGCATATAATTAACACCTAAGAGGACCAACCCTAAGATAGAGCCTTTCTTACCCAGTGATAGATGTTTTTGTGATATATGGTGATTTAATCATTTTATTTTATTTTATTTTTTGACTTTGAGTGTTTGCATTATCATGTCATGCATCATTTTCATTGTCATATTTAACATCGTGCATCTGCATCAGTTTCATATTTCATTTATGCATCAACATACCAAACATAAAGCATAGCAGAGCATTTATCATCCTAATTGTGGTGCTTAAGGTTCAAGGATAGCTCCACCAAACAATCTCACTCACCAATACAATGTAAGGGCTCAAGCTAGATGATGGAACAATAAAATTCCAATAGTCTTGAAAGGATAGAAAAAAGCCCAAAAGAAGCTTGAAGGGGAATTAAATAGAATTCTAGAAGCTTTAAACAAGTTAAACATGGGGAAGGTAATAGAGGAGAATGCTGGCCAACAAGACCATTCCTCATAAGAGGAGGATAACCCACTGTACTCTCTTAGTTTTGGGCCACATCAAGCCCAACTTGCACAAGGTCCACCATCATAACAGTTCACCTATCCTGTAGGATACACATATCCTAAAATGCCATCAACTTCAAATCTTAGACAGTATCAGAGTTATGTAAATCCTATCTTTACAGAAAAGGTAGTAAAACCATTTGAGATCCTTAATTTAGACGATCCAAAAGAGAACAAAAAGTTAAAATCAAAAGGGGGTGAGTCATTAAGTGACTTGAAAGCTGATTAGAAGATTAGTATGCTGAAAGAGAGGCTGTGAGCAGTGGAAGGAGTTGAATTTTATGGTTCAGTAGATGCAGCTGTGCTCTATTTAGTCTCGGATGTTGTTATTCCTTCGAAGTTCAAAGTGCCAAAGTTTGAGAAATACGATGGTACAAATGTCTGAAGACCCACATTACCATGTACTATCAAAAAATGACTGCCTATACTAATAATGAGAAGCTATTAATGCGTGTGTTCTAAGATAGCCTCAAGGGCTCAGCTGCTAGGTGGTATGTCTAGTTGGACAGGACTCGTATTCATTCTTAGAGTGATATGGCCTATGCCTTCATTAGTCAGTACCGACATATTATAGATTTGGCCCCTGATGGCCTTTCTTTACATAATATGGAGAAGAAAGCAACTGAATCATTCAAGGAATATGCCCAGAGATGAAAGGACATAGCCTCTCAAGTATAACCTCTGTTAACTAAGAAAGAGACCACGGTATTGTTCGTCAGTACTTTGAAATCTCTCTATTATGAAAAGATGATAGGAAATGTCATGAAGAATTTTACTGACATGGTAATCTCAGGTGAAATCATTGAGAATGCCATTAAAAATGACAAGTTAAAAAGAGAGGAAACCAAAAAGGTGTCAGAGAAGAAAGAGACTGAAGCTCAAGCCGTGAGTCGTGATAGATAGTTTAGAGGATATCAACCCTATCCACCACAAGGTTATGCCTCATACTATCCTACTGTGAATAATATCTCACCTTACCTTTATCATCCATATCCACAACTAGCTTACTTACCAACTTATCAATCAACCTTTCAAGTACCTGCATATGATTCTAGTCATATCATTACATCAGTTTCAAAGCCTAACAACCAAGCGAGTGGTTTAGTGAGATCTCAGGATAATTAAGAAAGGGCACATATTGACCTTATCCTCATGACTTATGCTGAGTTGTTCCCATAATTGGTCAAGAACAATTTAGTATCTCTAGTTATGCTAGAACCATTAAAGCCACCTTATCCTAAGTGGTATGATGCTAATGCAATGTGTGATTATCATAGTGGAAATGTGGGTCATTCTATTGAAACTTGCCCTGCTTTCAAACACAAAGTG